AGAGTTTAGGGTTTAAGGGTTTAGGATTTAATTTAGTATTTAGGGGTTTTAGGGTGTAAGGGTTTAGGGTTTAAGGGTTTAAGTTAGGCTTTTAGGGTTTAGGGTCCTAGGTATCATTATGGGATCCTCTAGGGTTCCTTTTAAGGGTTCCTTAAAGGGCTCCTTTGAAGGATTCTTTCAAGGGTACCGTTACGAGGCATACTTTCCAGAATCCGAATAGCAACTCCTACTAATACACCCTAATTACATTCTGTTACATTCTAAGTAAGGATGTACGTAGGACCCTTTGGGAAATGGTTTGAGGTGTTAAACGGGTTAAGAAATGAGTTGATTCGGATGTGTAATTATTGAAGGTTCTTCACATGGTGCTTGCGATTGCGTCCACAAGTTTTTTGATATAATGGTTCAAGGCTCCATGTTCTTTTACAGGGTGCTGGGGCCATCTACGTTAGGGCTGACATAGACCCCCAATTTTTTGAACCTATCTGTTAAGGGCTGCAGTTGAGGGTCAAGGTTTTGAGTTCGTGTGTGTGTCGTGTCCTGGGGTAGCTCAGTTTTCTGTGGGCTGGTATTGTAAAATTGCATGTCTCTGTGCCTGTTTAATCGATGGGCTATGTGATTGGGTATTTCAGGGTTTGTGGTTGAGGCTTCTTGTACTTAGTTCATTAATTCAGTTGTTCATGAAGTCGAGAGACAGCTCGCTGCACTCCGTACTCTTGCTGAGAGTGGCAGACTGGTTGCCTGAGTCTGGATGCCAATGACGTCATGACAGATCTGGTGATTTGTTGAAGTTGAAGATACACCTGAGTTCTTGGCTTCTAGCTTCAGCTACCATCGAAGCACGCCTGGTGCAAGCTTCGGCTACACCTGTGCAAGTCATGTCGCCGAGTAGAAGCAGACGGATCCAGTTGGCTTCTTCGTACTTCACGATGGTCTGAACGTGAGGAGACATCGTGCTATTGTCATTCTTCACGATGGTCAGAACCTGAAGAGACATCGTGATCCTGCCATGTGATTGTGAAGGCAAACTGGCTATACACTAGGTATAATTAACTTGAATAAGAAGAAGCCCTTTAGAACCTATCAGTCTTAGATCCTATACTCTAGAATCCCCACAAATGCCATTAATTGTTGCAGCTCCCCCAAGACAAGCCTCTAACAGCCATTCAAGAGCCCGAAGTTCATGGAAGGCGCCCGACTGGTTCTCGCCAGCCCGTACGCACACGACGACTACTTACTGCAGCTGGTCGGCACAAGCTACCCTTAAGGACCAACTCACCCTTGCAAGGTATGGGCCCCATACCCTACCCAGACTCCCGGGAGGATCCAAAAAGTACATGCGGGTTCCTATAAAGTACCACTATTAGTATAGGGCCCCGAATAAATTAAGGGATCTACTTTCTAGATCCTCCCAGGGGTCTGGGTAAACCGTAAAAGCACCTTAACCCCAAGGGTCCAAAGGACCCGATAATTGGGTACTCGGTTTTCGGATAGTAGTTATGTAGGTTAGGATTTTGGAGTGTATGATTATGAGGTACTCTAAACCCTAAGCCCCGTGACGGTGGATACTTGAACGGCAATTGAGCCGTGGACCGTTTTGGGGTTCACTTCGTCTCCAAATGACGGGTGGTTTGAAGCGTTCTATAGAGTTTTATAGAGGTAATTAACCACCGTCCACGGGACTTATCCCTATAAACCCTAAACCCTAACCATTTGAGTAGTGATAGATAATCAGGCCATAGGGATGATAGTTTAGAGTTTTTGGGGTTTAACGTGCTTTGGTGGGAAGAGCCCAAACCCTCAACCTGTAACAAATAAACCCTGGAACCTAACTCCCTAAGTCCTACATCCTTGATATTTGTGCACTCATCATTACTGCCCCGATAAGCCACGGACATGGAGGTTAAACTTTCCGATTCCTACTAAACTATACGACCCCGAACAGTTTAAAGGTTGGGCATTGGGAATCTAAGCAAAGAAACCCTAAACCCTAAAGCTCAGGCAGCACCTGGCCATTGTTGAGGAGATCCGTGCCGAAACTGGGTCCTTGTTAAGGAACTTAGTTTAAGTTACCATACTAGGGCTCTATAGTAAAAATAAAATGGTTTCTTTATTACCAAAACCCTAACCCTAAACCTTAAACCCTAAACCCTAAACCCTAACTTGAATTAAATCCCTGAACAAGAACCCAGGAAATGGCAACATGGAACGAGGTCGGCGCGGAGCATGGGGACGTTTTGGGGCTGTAGCAAAGTCTGCTGTGATGTGTGGGCTTGACCGATTACGTTTGGATATGTGTAAATGCATGTCTATGCATGTGTATATATATATATATATACATACAATAAATCATATACATATATATAGAGAGAGAGAGAGTTCTTTATGTACATCGCGAGAGAGAGAGAGAGAGAGAGAGAGAGAGAGAGAGAGAGCACAAAGCCAGGTTGGGTTTCGCGGTTCAGGATGTTCGTCAGTTGCTTTGGAGTTGCTTTGGGGAGTTGCACGGGTTCCCATGATGAAAGGGTTGTGTAACAGTTTCAATGGGCTTCTTTTATTCAAGATTTGCAGATTGGGGGTTTTAGCGGGTTTAAGGTTTGAGGTAGAGGGCCCAGGGCCGTCTAGGATCTGAATTTAGGACTTTGGGTGTTCAGGGCTTGTGGGTTTTCGTGGTTCAGTGCTTTCCCTGAACCCTAAATCCGGAAGCCCTTACAGCCCCTAAGCAGTAGGATACTTCTTAGAAGGACCCCCAAATAAGGTACCCCTATCCTTTACCTTAATGACATACCCATGTAGAGGAGCAGGGCTTGGGCTTTCCTATGAGAGCCCTGAACTCTACATCCGAAACCGTATAAACTACCACCCCTGTAAACCATAAGCCCCTGAACCCTACGCCCTAAACGCTACATGGGAGTTTCCGCAAATTAGGGGTACCTTCTTTTGGGGTCCTTATAATAAGGATCCTACTATTTAGGGTACTATATTAGGATCCCCTAATTTTCGGAAACTCCCACATGAGGTTTGGGGTTTAGTTTAGGGTTGAGTTCGGGGCTTAGGGTTCAGAGTCTAGGGTTTAGGGCAGCTTTTGGGGGTTCCGTCATGAGGGAATAATTCGGGTACTTGGGGGGGTCCTGGTAAGCCCTAAATCCTAAGTCAGCACTCGGCAGGTAGACCACTACATCGATTTCCTCCAAGATGGCGCCAGGGATCCGATCCTGGCCATAAACACTGTGGCTAAGGTTTAGGGTGTTTAAGCGCTTGGGGCTTAGAGTTTAATTGGAGGTTTAGGGGTTTAGGGTTCAGGGGTTTAGGCGTTCAGGGTTTAGTGTCTTAGCGTTTAGTGTCTTAGGGTTTACGGTTTAGGGATTAGGGTTAAGTGTCCTAGGGATTAGGGGACTAGGGGTTAGGGTTTAGAGTTTAAGGTTTAGGGTTTAGAGTTTAGGGGTTATCGTTTAGGGTTTAGAGTGGCGAACCCTAAGGCTCTGAGGACCCACCGTTTACGGCTTCGTTGTTTGAAGCTGCTTTAAGGGTTCCATTAAATACTCCTCACCCAATCCCTTATAGATCCCTTTTAAAGGAGTCCCTAAACCTACAACCCCTAGTCCCTCATAGATCCCAAGAAGGAATCCCGAAGAAGAACCGTAAAACCGTCGGACCCATACCCGAAACTCCGAAAAGCGAAAGTGTACTGTACACTGCCGTGCTTTCAGAGAGACCTTGCCAGGAGGATTTAGGTCTTAGTGGGTTTAGGGGCATAGGGCTGAGGGTGTAGGGGTTCGAGTTTCCAAAAAGCTTTGAAAGTATAGTATTTGGGACTGAAGGTGTCCTTACGGTTGATGATATAAATCCTGCATCACCCATAATATTCAAGTTATACCATAATTCTCATATTTTATGGTCCTTAAGGTAATGCAGGATTTCTATCATCACCCGTTATCATAGAGTATGCCCTAAACCCTAAACCCTAAACCCTAAACCTATGCGTAGAGATGGAACCACCAGATGATACGATCAGCCAACTGGTCAGACCTGGGCTTCTGACGGATGTTGCACGGGGGTGGTCTGACCCTAAGGTAGGGTTCCTTCAAGGGTTCCTCTAAGGGTTACTATAAGGGTTACTATAAAAGGGCTCTATAGGGGTTCGATGGGGGTTTAGGGTTTAAGGGTCCATGCGCCCAAATAGTTTATACATTAGTACATATATAAGGACTCCTTTAAGGCCAAAGTATATAGAGGATTCTGGGCCGCAGGGTTTGTTGGGTTTCGCATGTAGGGTTTAGTGGTTCGGGGCTTCGGGCGTAGCAGCTTGAAACGCTTATGTTTAAGGTTTTGAATTGAATGTTCAGGCATGTATCACCCGAAGGGTCCATGTACCCAAATAGTACATGCTTAGGCCTTAAAGTAGTCGCTGTACAGGTACTTGGAGGCTGAAGTATCTACTTGGAGGGTCGGGGGACTTAGTAAGTAGGTAGTAAGTAGACTTATAAGTACCCTAAAAGGGACCCTAATCGGGGTTATGGTACTTATAAGTCCTTACAATAGCCAGTTACTAAGTCCCCCTAAACCCTAAACCCTATACCCTTATATAGAATCCCTATAGATCCCTTTAAAGGAACCCTAAAGGAACCCCTTATAGTTACTAAGTCCCCCGACCCTCCAAGTAGTAGTTGGGTACATGGACCCATCGGGTCCGAGAGGTGCTGTGCAGAGCTTTCCCAAGCAAGCCCACAATCCCTAAGGCTCCATGTACCCTTATAGTAGATACTTCGGCCTTAAAGTAGTCCCTATATAGGTACTTTAAGGCCTAAGTATCTACTATAAGGGTACATGGAGCCTTAGGGAATGAGTTTGCATGGCTATGGACTGCATACTACTGTTCACCGCAGCTGTTGTTGGGGCTTCACATGCCTCATAGGCACTGCCATGTTCTGCAGCATCTTATAGCCTCATGATTGTGTTTAGAAGTTTAGCATCAGCTGTCTACACCGGTTCAAGCGGCAATGCTACGCGTCTATCGAGCGTCGGGCGATTTGCTTGCTGAGTTCACACAGGAGGATTTACAAAAGTTGGCCAATGCAGACAAATGCCCCGGATATGTGTTAAAGAGGCATTTGCAAACGCTTTGCGGGCAGTTGAGATTCAAGCAACGATTGCTGAAGGAGGGTTCCGCTGCACCTGTGGCTGCATTTACACGCATTTTTTTGTTCAGGTATGTTAGGGTTCTAGTCTTTCACCTTCTGAGCAAGGCTCTAAGGCGTCATAACAAAAGTCCAAACCCTGCAACCGAAACTCTAGAAGCACCTAGACCCGCCAAACGAAGCTGTAGTATACCCCAAACACCCACTACGGTTGATGATATGAATCCTCCATTACCTCAAGGACCCTAATCTATGGGAATTATGGTATATTCCTTATTATGGGTCATGTAGGGTTTATATCATCAACCCTAAACCCTAAACCCCCTATAGATCCCTTGAAGGGGCCCCTTAAAGGTACCCCCTACCCAGACCCCCGGGAGGATCCAAAAAGTAGATCCCTTAATGGGGGTTCCTATAAAGTACCCTTAGTAGTATAGGGCCCCAAATAAGGGGATCTACTTTCTAGATCCTCCCGGGGGTCTGGGTATAGATCCCTTTAAAGGAACCCCAGGATTTATATCATCAACCGTATGAAGGGACCACCGGGCTCCATTTTAAAGGGCACTTGAGGGGCCCTGGCACATACAAAGCAGCCGAAAGAGCCCTTAACCTTTAGGGTTTAGGGTTTAGGGGTTTAGGGTTTAGGGTTTAGGGGTTTAGGGTTTAGGGTTTAGGGTTTAGGGGTTTAGGGGTTAGGGGTTTAGGGTTTAGGGATTTAGGGGTTTAGGGTTTAGGATACACCTTAGCTTTACCCAAAGGGTCCAAGTATCATCCTGGTATATACTTATAGGGCATTTTGGGGGTCTAAGTATGTCCCATGATGACCCTTTGGGTTATAAACCTTACACCCTAAACCCAAAACCCAACTACCCTTTTATAGTAGTCCCTAATTACCTCTTAATGAGAAATATCAGAGCCCTTTCAAGGGTACTTGGGGGGTCCTGGTAGACCCCAAACCCAAAACCTAGACTTTCTGGACCCTAGAAAGCACTTGAGGAGTCCCTGAGAGTTCCCTTTAATGGAGCCCTGCTGGTTCCTTATACAGCAAACTCTAAAAAGTTGGAAACCGGATTAAGGCCAAATAGTGCTGGGATCCCCTGTGCTTTACTCTTAGGGATTGAGGCTATCGGGTTTCCAACTTTTTGCTTCGACTGTAGCTCCCTTTAAAGGAACCCTAAAAAGCAGGTACAAAGCGATGACGCGTTCCTGGAGCCTTGGCGTTCTGGTTGGCTCTTAGGACTTTAACTGTTTGGGTTTCTCTATTGACGATATGAAGGAGGCTAGAAGTTTACCTTTTAGGAATGGTTCAGAACTCATCCAAGCTTCCTCGGCTTAGGGGTTGAGGGCCCTTAGTTCTCCAATCTAGGAGGGGTTCAGATTCAGAAGTCAGCCAAGATAGTATGTGCTTAGGCCTTACAGGGGCCTCTAAATAAGTACCTCAGCGCCGAAGTATATACTATACCCCGAGGGATTTACGGGCTCATATATTAAGGCTTTTGGGCCCAAAGTCCATACCACATAAGGCTGTTGGGCTGTTTTGATACCTAGAGATAGGGGCCCAAATAAGATTCTTGGGCTATGTTGATCCCCAGGGTATGGGTCCAAGGAGCCTCCTCTCGATTTGACCCTGGTGCTCGTACCTTTCGCGACCGCGAGCACGGCCCAGATCGATGCTGGGCTCTTTTTTGTTCAGGATTTTTTTGGGGGTTCCTTTACAGGGATCCTTTAAGGGTTCCTTGAAAGGGATCCTTCAAAGGGATCCCTTAAGGGTTCTTTAAAAGGCATCCCTTTTGGGTTCCTTTAAAGGGATCCTTCAAAGAGATCCCTTAAGGGTTCTTTTAAAGGGATCCCTTAACCTTGAAGGGATCTATAAGGGTTTCCCTTTTTAAGGAATTACAGTTATCCTAGGGTTCCTTAAAGGGATCTATAAGGGATCTATAAGGGTTCTATAAATGGTTGAGGGTTTCGGGTTTAAGAGTTTCCCAAAATTCGGTGTAACTTGTTTTTGAGGCCCTGACAATACGGATCCTTTTATTTGGGGTACTATGTTAGGGTCCCCTATTTTCGGAAACTCGCACATAGGGTTTGGGGTTTAGTTAAGGGTTAGAGTTCGGGGTTTAGGGTTCAGAGTATTAGGTTTTAGGGCAGCTTTTCTGGTTCCGTCATGAGGGAATACTTTGATTTGCGTTAATCTCTTCTATGGTAACTTACCCAGACCTTCCAAAATCCCTTAATTAGGGAATATGCCTTAAATTATAGTAGGATCCCTAATATGATTTAAGGTATATTCCTTAATTAAGGGATTTTGGAAGTTCTGGGTTATATCACCTTCCTGAACCCCCTATAGAACCCATATAGTAGACCCTGAAAGGAACCCTTAAAGGAACCCTAGATGAGTACATGGCCCCTTAGGGATACATTCCTGAAGAAGAACCCAGGATGAGCTATATAATGGGTATATAATAGCGGTATATACCTAGGGGTCCTTATTAAGGGTCCCTCCTTTTCCCCTGTGATTATATGGGAGTTTCCGAAACTAAGGGACCCTATAATGTAGTACCCTAAGTAATAGGATCCTTATTATAACGACCCCTAACTAAGGCACTCCTATTTTCGGAAACTCCCATATCATCTTCCTGAACCCGGAACCCCAGGATGAGCTCATCCAAGCTGCTCGGAAGGGCGACCGGGCCGGAAGTTTTGATCTTCGGGTTTAGGGTTTAGGGGTTTAGGGTTTAGGGTTTAGGGGTTTAGGGTTTAGGGGTTTAGGGTTTAGGGGTTTAGGGTTTAAGGGTTTAGGGGTTTAGGGTTTAGGGGTTTAGGGGTTTAGGGGTTTAGGGGTTTAGGGTTTTAGGGTTTTAGGGTTTAGGGTTTAGGGGTTTAGGGGTTAGGGGTTTAGGGGTTTAGGGTTTAGGGGTTTAGGGTTTAGGGGGTTAGGGGTTAGGGTTTAGGGGTTTAGGGGTTAGGGGTTTAGGGTTTAGGGTTAGGGGGTTAGGGTTTTAGGGTTTAGGGTTTAGGGGTTTAGGGGGGTTAGGGTTTAGGGGTTAGGGGTTTAGGGTTTAGGGTTTAGGGGTTAGGGGGGTTTAGGGGTTTAGGGTTTAGGGTTTAGGGGGGGGGGTTTAGGGGTTAGGGGTTTAGGGTTTAGGGGTTTGGGGTTAGGGGTTTAGGGGTTTAGGGGTTTAGGGGTTTTTTTAGGGGTTTAGGGTTTATGGGTTTAGGGGTTTAGGGGTTTAGGGGTTTAGGGGTTTAGGGGTTTAGGGTTTAGTTGTTTAGGGGTTTAGGGGTTTAGGGGTTTAGGGGTTTAGGGGTTTAGGGGTGTTGGGGTTTAGGGGTTTAGGGGTTAGGGGTTTAGGGGTTTAGGGTTTAGGGGTTTAGGGTTTCGGGTTCATTGTTTCCAGCGGTTTCCGGTTGTCCACAGGACCTTACCCAAAGGGTCCAAGTATCATCATGGGACATACTTAGACCCCCAAAATGCCCTATAAGTATATACCAGGATGATACTTGGACCCTTTGGGTTATAGGTTTAGGATAGCAGTTCTGTATGTCAGCAGTCGGGAGGGTATATGCTCATTAGTTACGAACCGTTTACATAGGGTTCAGCATTAAGTCTGTGCCGAAACAAGCCCGTAAACCTTTTTCTAATTGTTAAGGCCCCGAGATCATAGAACCCATAGAGATCATCCATGAGGGCGACCGGACCGAATACCACTAGGGCTCCTTCATATTATACCTGCTTATCCAATAACCTGCTGTTTTCAGGCTTATACTGATATAACCGTGATAAAACCCATCACCAAGAGGCCGAAACCTATTATTTTGTAGGGTTTGGGGCTACGGCTACGGTAAAGTTGGAGACAAAAATCTCCAAACCTTAAACCCTAAAACCCAAACCCCCAAACCCTAAACCCCTAACCCTTTAACTTAAACCCATAAACCCAAAACCCAAAAACCCAAAACCTAAAACTCTAAACCCTTAAACCCCTAAACCCTATTCGAAGTCTGAAGGCTCAGCCCACCACTTGGACCCGTGGGTGCCCCCTTGTTGGTGGTCCGGGTAATACTGGCTCCTTGTTTAGGCTAGGACCCAGAGTAGGCCCTTATTCCCCTTTTTAAGGTTCCCTTCTAACCCCATTTAAACCAAAAAGGGCACCCTTTTTATTCCTAGGTTACTCTTAGGTCTAGTAGAGTTTACCTATAGTCTCCCTTGTAGTTCCTTTTTTCGGTTATCCACGCTTTATGGTTAGGATCCTATGATAGACTTTGGTCAACCAAAAAAAGGAACTACAATGGAGACTATAGGTAGGGTTCCAGCGCAAGAAAAGGCTCCCGACGTGAAGCTCCCATCTTGATTTCTTCTAACGCTACGGGTCGAAATGCCTTTGGTAGCATATACTGCATATACTTTTGCCGTAAAGCACCGAGAGAGGAACCCCTCTTCAGGCTTGCGCAGAATTACAATGCTATATGCAGGTACATTGACGGGTGGTATTTAAATTTGAAGGTTTCCGAGATTAGCATAGTATAGTTTGTCATCCTTGTTTGTATGATAGAAGTGCCGTAGTGGTTGAAACTGGGATCTAGAGGGCATGGTATGTAGAAGAGTAGAGCATATTTCAAGATTAGCAAAGCACAGTATCATATAGTATAGTATACAGTACAATACAGCATAGTGTCACTATGATGTGGACTTTTGAGCAAGAGACCTAAACATTCTAATTTCAATCTCCTCTATTATGCTTTCTTCCCATCGAGCATTCTTTTTTTGAGAAGAAGCGGAGCCAGCAAGACCAGCCCAGGTAATATCTCGGTGGTCGAGGACTGCTTAAAAATGCATACCCAAAGACCCTACCCACAGGGTTAAGGTGCTTCGTTTCATGGCTAGAACCTCTTGTATGGGCGCTTGTCGAAATTATGGTCGCTTTTGGGTCCTTATTACTTAGTGGTTTTCAGAAATCATTTTTATTTTTTGGTTAGTATAACCCCTAAGAAACAGCTAAAATTTTATTTTTTGCTAGGGTTCTAAGTTCGGTATAGATTATAGTACGGCAACTATTATTTAGGGTACCCCAAAAGGGACCCTAATTTTAATCTGACAGCTACCCATATATTTAGAAGAGTACACAGGCACCCAAGCAAGGGGATAGGGTATGACCCTTTGGGGAAGCCTAAATCCCGAATAGACCGCCTATAGCAATCGATTCCTTAGATCCCTAATGCCCAATTAGTTCCTATGGAAGATGCTAAGCCCTGAACCGCACACCCTGCACAAACACACACACACACACACACACTCTCCGACGCGCAGACACACCGATACACACACACACACACACACACACACTCGCACAAACGCACACCCTGTGAACCCCAATTCCTAAACCCTACACCCTATAAACCCTAAATCCTACACTAAACCCTAAATCCCAAATCCTACACTTTTAAGCTGCGAGGACTGCTTAAACCGACCTCAAGAACCTGATCCACCGGGGCAGAAAGCTTCAGCACTGCATCAAGCTGTTGAACACGGCCCCTAGGTTTTCAGAGTACTGGCCTTTATAGTCAGAGCAAGGTGTTGGGGTTTGTTAGTTTTGAAAAAATGTGATAGCGAACCCTTAGAGCAATACTGGCACAATGCATTAATGGGATTTATGTGGTTTGTGTATGTAAGCATTTAGCGTTTCTGGCTTTTTTTCGAAGTCAATACGGTTGATGATATAAATCCGGCATCACCCATATTAAGGAATATCCGAATATCCCATAATTCCCATAGCTTAGGGTCCATAAGGTAATGCAGGATTTATATGATCAACCGATAGCTTAAAGCTTCCTCTTCATAGCCGCACAGTGGAAAAGGAGTTCAGTGTTGTACCAGCACCCGAGGGTCCGACAAACGGGGAAAGGCGCTTCCCTACCCCGTTTTCAGGGTACCTACGGTTGATGATAGAAATCTTGCATTACCCAAAATAAGGAATATACCATAATTCCTATATTCCTTATTATGGATGATGCAGGATTTATATCATCAACCGTGGTTTTCTGTTTTATGATTAGCATCGGTTATCTACAGAGTAGGTACCCTACACATGGGAGATGCTTTCCAAAAGTCAGCATAGTCCCTCCACATATGGCGACCCTAATTACATTTTGCTATGTAGGTACTTCGGAATTGGTGAGTAAACCCGAAACTCCAACCCCCCAACACCCTTATAGTAACCCTTAAAGAACCCTGCAACGCAACCCTTAAATGTAACCCTGCCAGGTAGTACCGAGAACTAAGGCCATGTCGATGTCGCCCGTTTGCTACTGGAGGCCGGTGCAAACAAGGATCGGACCACGAAAGACAACAACACCCCTTTGTGCCTTGGCCCCATAGGAGTTCCAGGGTTTGGGGTTTAGAGTTTACTTATAGTCTCCATTGTAGTTCCTTTTTTGGTTAACCAAAATTTCTATTATAGGATCCTAACCATAAGACTGGATAACTGAAAAACGGAACTACAACGGAGACTAGAGGTAGGGTAGTTTAGGGACGAAAGGCACCCTTTCAGTGCGAAGGTGCCTTGCAGCTGCACTTGAGCATGCGGGGCAGGTGGAGTGCGCACAGCTGCTGCTGGAATCACGTGCAGACGTTAATATTGCGAATCGCGGTGGCAGAAGCCCCCTCTTGCAAGCTCTATCCTGCACAACTGCAGGATCTGAGGCAGAGGTGGCTAGATGCGCCAAGGTTGCCGATCTTTTGTTGAAGGCCCGTGCAAGCGTGGAGAAGACGGACAATATGGGCAAGCCGGCCCTGGTCTACGCATGCGAGAGGGGTTGCACAGATCTGGTGAAGATGCTTCTTGAGGCAAGGGCCCTATGCTAAACCCCATAGGTCCCTCATAAATTCCCTAAACCCTAAACCCTAAACCCTAAACCCTAAACCCTAAACCCCAAACCCTAAACCCTAAACCCCAAACCCTAAACCCCAAACCCTAAACCCTAAACCCCAAACCCCAAACCCCAAACCCTAAACCCTAAACCCCAAACCCTAAACCCTAAACTTGAGGCAGGTGCGGAGGTGAATCAGTCGTGCAAGCAAGAGCTCGGGGATGCCTTGTCATAGTTGGGCAAAGCTTTGAATGTGTATGGGTACTTGGAGGGTCGGGGGACTTAGTAAGTAGGTAGTAAGTAGACTTATAAGTACCCTAAAAGGGACCCTAATTGGGGTTATGGTACTTATAAGTCCTTAAAATAACCAGTTACTAAGTCCCCCGACCCTCCAAGTATTTAAACTCATGAAGGAATACCTATAGTCTCCATTGTAGTTCCTTTTTTTGGCTAACCAAAATCTCTATTATAGGATCCTAACCATAAAAATGCCTGACCAAAAAAAGGAGCTACAATGGAGAATATAGGTAGAAACTTAAAGCGTTAATGATATCCCAACCATGGACTAGGACCCTACACCCTAAGCCCTAAACCCAGGATACTTCAAGGGGCTCGGGTGCCCTTCATCGAGCTGCTGCGCGGGGTCGTCCAGACGTTGCCCGCATATTGCTCGCCGCCCGGGCGGATGTGGACAAGGTCGTTCGGGACCCAAAAAGTTTCTATTGGGCTCCTTAAAGGGATCTATAGGGTTCCTGAAAGGGATCTATGGGGTTTAGGGTTTAGGGCTTACTTGGAGGGAGGGACCAAAAAGCACGTAATCATAATCATTTCATAGGGATATCCCTACCTTATTGGGCTTCATTATAGGGAGCTTTTATATGGGATATCTCTGTCGTATTTTTTGCTGATGTGCTTTTTTGGGGCCCTAGGTCGACGCAAACGGGTGGACGCCTCTCTTCAAAGCTGTTCGCCATGCGCACCCGGAAATGGTGCAGCTATTGTTGGACGAAGGTGCAAACAAGCTCAAGAAAGATGCAAGCGGGGAAAGCCCAGCTTCTATTGCCAAGGTTTTCGGAAATGAGGACTCAGCATTATAGTTGCCCAATGCACGACTTTTCCAGCTCAAGGTTTTGCAGCTGTCTTTACTGGTAATTACAAGTCTGAAGTTTAACACCCTTTGTGTTTTTCTCCTTGGTCTCTTCCTGAAGGACCAAAGGACATGGAAAACTTGGGCCTCTACCTAGACCCTCCAACTACCCTCCAATTTGCCCCAAATACCCACTGTTAAGGGCCATAGGGGATCTATTATATATAGGGCTCTTGGGGGTCCTGGTACACCCTTATACTATGACAGTATTCATCCTACTATGGGAGCTTCCGAAAAGAGGGGACCGTCATATAGTACCCTAAATAGTAGGATCCTTATTATACGGGACCCCAAAATCAGGTACCCCTAATTTTCGGAAACTCCCACGAAGTGTACACGAAGATTCAGCCTCATGGTCTTCTGGAAACTTAACCGTTTTTGTGTTTCTCCCTGGTTTAGGGTGTAGGGTTTAGGGTTTACCCTAAGTCTCCTGGACCCTTGGAGTGAGGTCCCGAACCCTAGCCCGCAAAGCCGAAACCCTCCTCCAGAAAGCCCATGACCCCGCTAGGAGCCTTAGGGTAGGGCTTAGGGTTTAGGGTTTAGGGCCTGAAGAAGTCGGGCAGGACATCGTGCGCCTCTTGAACAAGAAGAAGCTTCAGAAGAAGGAGCCTACTCAGCCCAGCAAACGGCCACGTCCGGCTCGCAAATAGCGCGTCCCGCGCACTGAGCAGGCAAGCTTGATCATAAAGTTCTCAAGTGGGTTCCATCGGACTTCATGATGCCTTTTCAAGTCCCCTGACCCTTAACTCGGAAATTGCTCCAGATCGCACAAGAGCCCCCATAACGCTCATAGAAATGTATTTGGCTTCCTGAACTGGCTTTGTGCTCGGGGGGTAGGTGTGATCTGAATCCTGGACGGTCTAGGGTGACTCGAGGTCCTGATGCTGGAAAGCTCTGCAGTAGTCTATCAGGTATGCATACACTTCACCGAAGTTACCGAGGTTTGATTCTACAGCGTAGTACCATTCCGAGGTTACCCGGGCCGGGTTCGTGTTCCAGGATCCTGACAATAAAAAGGTTCTGTGAAAAAGGTATTACAATCTCGGACATGCCTGGACCCTGTAAAACCTTCCTTATTAGGGTTCCCTATAATGGTTTCCTTATATACGGTTGATGATATATACATATGTATGTATATATATATATATCCTGCATTACCTTAAGGAGCCTAAACTATGAAAATTGTGATATACTCCTTATTACGAACAATGCTGGATTTTCATCATCAACCGTATGTCCTTAACAAGCTAGGAAAGTTTGGGCTCCAGGTAGGTAGAACTCTGAGAAGTCCAAAAGAGCCTCCGTGTGCTCAGTCTGCGATGAGAGCCGGCTTCGCCAGTGAAAAGAGCTTCAACCTTAGGGGCGAAATGATCGATTGCTGGTGGAAAAAGGGGCTCAAAACAAAACGGACGAAATGATCCTTGAAAGTAAGCACCTTACTATAGGGGCCTAAATATATACCCCTACTTTATCCTAAGTAAAGTACAATAGGCCCCAAAACCCTAGTCTGGTTCTTAGTGCCCCTATATTCGGCACCCTATACCTTAACTCACATAATTGAACCTTAAGTCATTCGGTTGATGATATAAATCCTGCACTGCATTACCGATAGTAGGGAATATCTGGAAATTATGGTATATTCCTTATTGTGGGGAATGCAGGATTTCTATCATCAACCGTTTGTTCCTGAAGGAACCGGTCCATGCACCCACATGGTAGGCCTCAAGTCGCTCCCGAAGCCCTAAACACCAAATTACAGTCTGAAATCCAAAACCTTGCAAGATAGTAGGTTATGATCGTTACTTGGAGGATCCTGGGACTTAGTAAGTAAGGTTATAAGTACCTTAAGTGGGGTTGTAAGTATAGTTACCCTAATTATCACCCCATTTACTAAGTCGCGCCCTGAAGTCGAATGGAACTCAAACAAGGTGCATGTTTTTTCTTCCTCTCACCTACAGCACATAAGCTGCTCGAAAATGCGTCCTACATAACTTCAAGGGCTTTTGGAAATCCACTACTTAGAGGATCATGGGAGTAAGTAGGTTATAATCGGGGTTATAAGTCCCCTAAGTGGGGCTATCCTAACTATAACCTACTTATACCTTACTTACTAAGTCCAATGAGCCTTCAAATAAGAATCTGCGATGCACCTGCACCCTAAAAGCCTAGATCCGGCTCTTGAGCCCAAGTAAATCCTTAAGTCCCCCCATCTGGGAGTTTCCGAAAGATAGGGGTACCGTATTTTTGGGGGTCCTTTTAATAAGGATCCTATTGAAAACCCTAAAACCTGAGGAAAGTCCGTAAGTCCCCCCCCAAAAAAAAATAAAATAAAAATACACCCTAAACCTCAGGAAGGGCCATTGGCCGGAAGGTGGCAGCCGCGACAGCGCGCACCCAAACAGCCTGGGCCACGAAGGCCGGGCCTCTTTTGGGGGTTCTTTCTCCGGGTTACTTAGCGTTTAGCGTTTAGGGTTTACGGAGTTCCTACAATGGTTTATAAGGGTTGGCTGTAAAGGGTGCCTTTAGAGGGTTTCTATAAGGGATCCTGTAAAGGGTTCTTTCTAAGGGTTTAGTTTGAAATGAGGGTCTAGGGTTTACGGAGTTCCTATACGGGTTAGCTGTAAAGGGTTTCTTGAGAGGGGTTCTATAAGGGACCCTTTAAAGGGTTCGTTTTAAAGGGTTCCTGTAAGGCTTGTATACAAAGAGCTTGTCAGGGTTCCCTTCAGGCTTCGTTTGAAAACCTCCTTGAACGGTTTCTTTAAGGCTTTCGTGAAGGGTTCTAGAGAGTTTGGGGGTTCCGGGTGTAGGGGCTTAGGGCTTATAGGGTTTCGGGATTCGTGCTCAGGGTTGTCATTATTTGGCGTGGTCTCCTTTTTGGGTGTAGGGTTCCATATATAGCATCTGGGGCTGAGGTTTATCAGGGTTGATTAACTAGGACCCAGAGTAGGCCCTTATTCCCTTTTTTGAGGCTTAGGTTCCCTTATAAACCCCTTGAAACCAAAAAGGGCACCCTTTTTATTCCTAGGTTACTCTTAGGTCTAGATAGTGTTTCAGACTTACACAGTGTTCGGTGTTAGGGTTGATGCTTATAATCGGCTTTAGGGAGCTAGGGTATCAGAGATGTGGGATGGCTGTTCTAATCTTTGCTTGTAGACTAGATAACGTTCCCTAAGGGTCCAAGCACCCAAATAGTAGGGTTTCAAGGCAACTACTTTTTTGAGGACTTATATAAAGAAATCATATGAGGGAACCCTAAAAAGGTAGGTTCCTTAGGGTCCAGGTAGGGCTTAATGTTTGGGATTTCATGTTGAAGGGCTTAGGGCTGCGAGTGGAGGGCTTAGGGTCTAGGACCTATATAGGTTTAAGATTTAAGATGTACCCATAGTATCCATTGTAGTTCCTTTTTGGGGTTACCTTTTAGGATCCTTAATGTAATAGTGGTTAAACCAAAAAAGGAATTACAATGGAGACTATATTTAGGGTTTATGGTTAAGGACTTAGGGACTAGGGGTCTGGGACATATAGGTTTCAGGTCTCGGGCTTAGGGTTTAAATGGCTAAGGACTTCGGGTTTAGGACCTATAGGTTTAAGGTTTATCGGGAGTCCCTAGAGGCCCCAGGCATGCGTAACAAATGCCTCATGCTTCTCAGTCGTGTACTGCAGTTGCGGGACTAAGTTCGTCAGAAGCCCTAAACTTCTGAACCCTATACCCGAGACCCCAACCCCTAACCCGTAAACCCTTCCTATTAGCCCATACAAAGCCGAATGTCGATCAATTGAAGCAGGGCGCTTCTCCTGAACAGGGTGTGATATGGGAGTTTCCGGAAATTAGGGGTACCTTATTCTGGGGTCCTGATAGGTAGGGTCCTACTTTTTTTTTGTGTATTATATTAGGGTCCCGCATTTTCCGGAAACTCCCATATGCCAGGCATGTTCAAATGCCTCGACCTGCCGTCTGTCTTCGGAGAGTACTGGTGAGGCCGGGTAAAGAGAAATTCGGGGCGTCCTCATATGCGAACATGGTGACCCCTAAACCTTAAACCCCAAGTGACATGTAGGAAATTTCAAAACTACCTGTGCCAGAACTGAGATGGTTTGGACAGTTCGTTCTTGGTTTGGAAACCAAGTTCTATAGTGCAACAGTTGAATTTAGGATGCAGCGCTCTTGCAAATGATTCCATGTCCCCGATCCTTTGTGCAGGTGTCGCGGTGACCACAGCTTTTGTATTCCCAATGGTGGAAACTGGCTGATCAAGGATCCGTCTCAATGTCCTGAAGCCGTAGGTTGCGAAGAGGTTCGGCCGAAGCTTGCTACGGTCAGCCCTCCCTGTGTAATTCAGATGCATCCTTTGATTCCTTTGTAAAGGTTCCACCGCCAAAAGCCGCTGTATCGTGGCTCCAAGCCGTAGTGGATGGGCACCCTACCGACTTGAGGGAATAGTCATTCAAACAGAATTCGTCGTAGCTTCCTAGTCCCCTAGCCATTTCCTACCAGGTCCTACCTACCTCAAAAAGTTGAGTCGCAACTAGGAGAAGTGCCCGAAGCCGAAAACTCAACCTTAAAACTTAAATCCCTGAACTGCGCAAGTCAGAATAGTGGCAAGTAGTGGATGACGAGATCAGTCCGTACATCCAAGTCGCAGAACAGTGCAACCTGAGCCTTGTTGTAGAAAAACCCAAAGGGCCCAAACACTACAACAGAGAAGCTTCACACGTGGGAGCTGCAGCAGAGCAAAAGCCCTCTGCTTCTGCAGTGCCCGAATCCGACGTCGCTGCTGCTCGGTGCATCAAGCAGACTTGTTTTCTTGAGATATATAGTGAATCGCTGCAAGGATTCAGAATATAAGGGTACGGGGCACCCCCTGCTGTCAATGGTGATTTGTACTTAAAGTTAGGGGCTATATGAGAGCCACTTGAACCTGAAGTAGCGTTTCTTGGAAGAAGAGACGGTTCAGTTTTATCTATCAGAGTCCAAGTATTCCTTATTGCGGGACTTTGGTCATATTGGATACCACGAAGCCATACATAAGGACCCCTCTGAACCCAGCCCCCGAAACCCTGAACCCTTGCTTTTGACCGCCCGAGCAAGTCAGCGACGCAGCAACGCCTGGCTTTCCGTTTTATCGGCAGCAAGAGCTGCCTGTACGTTGCCATGGCACGAAAAGGGTCATTTCGTGCACCGTGGGTCCTAAATCCCACGAGACTAGAAACCCTAAACCCTAAACCCCTAAACCCTAAACCCTAAACCCTAAACCCCTAAACCCTAAACCCTAAACCCTAAGATACCCCAGTAGCATGCTTAGGCCCTCGAGGGTCCCCCAAGTTTCTCTAGAGAATGTAGAGTTTCCGTATTAGGAAAAACTACGGTTGATGATATAAATCCTGCATTACCCATAATAAGGAATATATGGTAATTATGGTATATTCCTTATTATGGGTCATGCAGGATTTATATCATCAACCGTATCACTTATGATTTCGGAAAGTACCGCCGGCAACGGCACCTAGGACTTTTTGGATTAAGACTGCATAGTGGGAAAACGGGTATGTGTATTCGGCGGGATTGCTGGGGAATGTAAGTATCAGGCCTTCGTTTCACTGGCGCTAAACCTCCCGGACGACATGAACCCTAAAGCATTTCGAGGCTCGT